CATGTTATGTGATGGGTGGCCCCCTGGGCAAAACCCTGCAATTGGTTCATGAAAATCTTGTTGATGGTCTTATTGTTATAATTAATACTGACAATAGAATTGCATATAACTCACAGAAAACAATAAATTTTTCATTAAATTAGAAAGAATCGTTTTTGTTTTGGAAGTTTTTATTCTATTTTCATAATAAAACACTGTGACCCCAAGGAAATTTTTTTTTTTCCTAGTGTGGCAGTCAATGTGTTAAATTGGTTCTGTAATCTAGAGGGTTATATCAATTGTGTTTAGCAATTTCTAGATGAAAGGAGCTTTTTAATCCGCATCACTAGAGATGAAGGTAGAGTAGGGAATAGAATTGTAGAAGATAATAAAGTCACAGAAAAGTTGAATGAAAATCATTCTATCAAATAATAAACGTCCACATACATTATGTAATTTTTCAAGATTTTAACTTAAAAAGATTTTAATTTTTTAATGCTTTAACTTTGTTAAAATAGCAATTAGTCCAGACATCCTTGAATCAAGCTCAGATTCTGTTAATTTACTCAGGGGCTTAAACCCCAGGCACTTAGCCAAGGAGACAGAGAAAAATAAGTTTCCCATATAAATGAGTTGGGGAAGCAGGTAAACAGGCAGAGTAACATATGCTATGATGCATCAGTATGACTTCACTGACTATTTCTCAAAGTTTAGTTACTTCCGTGTACCATCTGTCCAGGTTTAGTTAATATTTGCCTTTTAGTCTGTTTTAATTACTATTTCTCTGTTGTTTCTTAGAAATTTAGTATAAGCTAATTTTATATAATCATGAGTAAATAGATGTGCCTAACATATAGTCGATACATAGTGTATATTTAGAGAATGAATGAGTGTTGACAAGAAGACAATACGGGCTTAGCATAAACTTAGCACGTTGGAGGTAGGAACAACAATGAAGTAAGATACAGAAAGACTTTCCAAGGAAAATTCAGGCATAGGCAAGTGACAGCAAACAACGTCCAGATCCTCAACTTTCATGTATGCTCTTTCATGTATGTGTATCGACTCTGCTCCCCTCTCTACCTAAGGGAGTACTTATTCTCTATTTCCAACCTGCCTTTCTCCAGTTTTTCATGACTCTATTTAAAAAGAAAAGCACACTTTCACCATCCTAACTTCTATACTGCATGCTTTTAGGGTGTCAGAACCTCCCAGGGTTAGAGACTATTGGAACGTCAGTGTAAAGGTTTATAAAGTGAATGACGAATAACTAAAAAATTCTGTGACAAGTCAGGTGGTTTCCAAGTTTTGCTTTCTATAAAAATAAAGGAGCCCCAATTGAGTTGTCAGCTAATAATTCATTTAAAATATTTTTGATGATAGATCACTAAGTGATTTGTGAATATAACTCAGGATTCAAAGAAGTGGGAGACACTACTATAACAAAATATATTTAATTCTAATCCACTTATTTAAATAAAGGTTTTTCTCAGCTCTTACAGATACACAAAATAGGCATAAAATTGATGTTGAATCCTGGTTTTTTATAGTTAGAAGTAATATTCATCCATGGATATATGGAAACAAAAGCTCATTAAAAGATCCATTTTTTTTTTTCCTGAGACAGGGTTTTGCTCTAGTGTCTGGGCTAGAGTGTGGTGGCCTGATCATAGCTCACCACAACTTCAAACTCCTGGGCTCAAGGGATCTTCCTGCCTCAGCCTCCCGAGTAGCTGGGACTACAGGTTTGCACCACCATGGCTGGCCAATTTTTATATTTTTTGTAGAGGTGGGGGTCTCACTCAGGCTGGTCTCAAACTCCTGTCCTCAAACAGTCCTCTCGCCTTGACCTCCCAGAGTGCTAGGATTACAGGCATGAGCCACTGTGCCTAGCCAGGAGATCCATTTCTTATCAGTCTTTACTTTTTATGTTTATTTAAATATCAAATCAAATTTATAAGTTGTTTCGGTCAATTTTGTACTGATATTATTGATCACTGAATCTAGAAGTTACCATTTTAACACTTAGAGATTTAAGACTACGGGAAAAACAAATTTAGTATATACACATGTGTGTGTATGTATGTGGGTGGGGGCCAGAGAAGTATGACAGGGTAATAAAAAAAGATATCAAGCCCAAAAATAGGATAAAGCTATATGAAGTGGAATGCAAATAAAAGAAAAAAGGAACAGTAAAATTTTCATCTGTTAAAAGCCAGTTCACAAATTTTTATTTGGATAATGATTGGTATCAAAACCACTCTGATATTTAGGTTCCACAGAGTATATTTTTAAAAATAGAGTAATTTATATTTTAAAAATGTCAATTTTTATAGTATGCTGGAAATTGCTTCCTTAAACATGATGAGGATTTTGATGTTGACTTAAAATGTGTTGGATGGTCTATAGTTTCTTTCAAAATGATACCAGTGATGTACCAGTAAAATATTTGCAGGTCACTGACCTTGTGGGTCCCAGTTCTGCTGGCTACTATGTACTTGCACTTCTTCTGGCCTTGAAGACCAGTAAATGGAGCAGCTTCAGTCTAATCCTGAGTCTTTGGAGGAGTCCTGGAGTGCCTCCTGGCCACTGTCTTCTTGAGTCTTCTAATAGACACTCTCTTCTGCCTGCTGGGCTATTTGCCCATCCACCAGTGCTTTGGACCCAGTAGCCACTGCCCTTTCAGCTCAGGGTAGCAGCCCACCCAGTGCAGGCGCAGGAGGGTGGTGTGTGTGGGGAGGGGCATGGAGGTCAGTGGCCAATGTGTGCAGAGGGAGCTGTGAGACACAGCTTTGCTTTCTCAGGGCTCAGGAGCACCAGCCTGAGCAGCCTTAGCAGTGTCTTCAATGAGCTGGTCTGTTGCCACTGGTTCTATGGGCAGGGTATGGCAAGCTGTTCCCATCCTTAGAGGCAATAGGTCTGTTTCAGGGAGGTCAGGGTCACTTGTCCTGGGTGAGTTGTAGGGTGGAAATTCTCTGCCCCTCCCCCTGGTGTACTGCTAGAGTCTCACACTTTGGGAATCACTCCTGTTAGGCTTTAAAGCCAGCCTGGGCCAGGCATGGCGGCTGACACCTGTAATCCTCACACTTTGTCTGTCCATGTAATCTGCCATGTACCACACCAGACTACTAATTTCCCAAATGGACTGTTCCTCATACTCATTCACCTGTACATGTGCTATTGGCTTTGCCCAGGAACTAACTTCCTCATTTCTTCCTGTGAATAATTTTGACTCATTCTTCAAGATTTAACATTTATATAAAAATCAATAGTGTTCCTAAACTAACAATACTCTTAAACAATATGCTGAAAAGGAAATATGCAGGATTAATAACTTTTGCTAAGGGATAGGAAAGAAAACGTGAATAGCTGGAGAAACAAACATTCTAGTCAGGGTTGGAAAGGCTGAATACAATAAAGATGTTAATTCTTTCCAAGTTTAATGCTTTTATTAATAATATCCTAGTCAAGGTTACCATATCTATTTAGATGCACAAATATTTTATAAATTATTTTTACCTGAATTTTAATTCTAAAGTTCATCTGAAAGTATAAACATTCAAGAATAGCTTTGAAAATTCCAAAGAAAAAAAGAAGAATGAGTAGAGATTCACCCTGTCTGATATTAACCAATTGAAAGTGTCCTGCCTTTTGTTAGCTAAGGGGAGGGCACAAGCCACTCCAGTGTATATAATTAAAGTATGTTTCTGACCATTTCTCTATTACACATGACTCACAACACTGGGTAGATTTTCAACCAATTTCTAGGGGAAGATGAGGATGAATTGCCATAGGATTTACTACAGTGGCATTCGAAAGTTTGCCTTTGTGGTCCTCTTTAGATCAGCAGCATTAGCATCACCTGAAAACCCGTAAAAAATGCAAATTTCAGGCCCCACCTTAGACCTGCTGAATCAGAAACTCCTGGTAGAGCCCAGCAGTCTGTTTTACAGACCATTGACACACATTTAGGTTTTGGAACTTCTTTCTGAAAAAGAGGTTATTATCCTCCAAAATAGCTGAAGTGGATATGCCAGGCTCCTATGACGTCCCATCCATATAGCAAGAGACAGTGAAAGGAGAAAATAGTTGCACATACTAGCCCTAAATTGAAATTCACATGGCACACTTTCAGTCGCAGGTGTTACATTTCAATCCAGCCATTTCTCACTGAGGCAACTCCAGGTTGAGTAGCAGCTGGAATTTATTTAATTGACCATGGTTAATGAGGCTCCCAAATAACTCAGCTAGAAAGGTCAGCTAGTAAATAAATTAAATATTTCCTGCTGTATCATCTGTCAGTTGATGTGAGCTTATGATTGTCAGGAGATCTAACTGTTGGGCCGAATACAAATTTAGGAAGGTAAAGCTGCTGGGGGGAAAGCCTGCACCATCAATCCCTAAGTGGTTTTTAAATCATCCTTGGTTTTGTATCATCTGAGCCACTCGCCTCATTAACTCCATTACTGTAGAGCTCACTGTAGTTAGCTTCCCGTACCTTTTCTCTTCATCAGAGGAAAACACTCATTCCCTCTAACACCTTTTTATGATAGTACTTTTCCCTCCAATATTAATAGTCTCTGGTTTTAAATTTTGTCTCTTAGAAAAACAGTTCCTCATGCAAAGAGTGATGGACAAAAATCCATTTTGACAGATTTAGAGGTATGTAAAGTCAGGCCAGGTTTTTTGGGGGAGATATTCTGCAGGGATGGGCTAGGCTGAGCCTAGTCTGGACCATACCTCTCTGGTGCAGAATTTATGATCAAAATTAATTTTAAAAAAGCCATGGATGAACAGAATGTCAATTTTTAAAATAGAAAAAGGATCATAACAGTGTTGGATTGAGCCATACCAGAGCCTCATGGGGCAAAAGGAAAAAAGTCAGAAATACTGATCCTGTCTCTGAAAAATCACATGTAAATGAAGTGTAAAACTAAGACCACATGTACCTGATTAATCATATAAAATTGTATTGGTGTGTATAATATTAATATTCCTTTATTTTCTTTTTCTGTGCCTAGGGATATACTGACATCTCCATCATGCTGGCAATATGCTGTCCTGCTTAACCGATTCAATTATCCTTTTAAACTGGAAAAGGATTTACATTTGAAGGGCTATCACACACTCTTTCAAGCATCTTTACCCTACTATCCTAAATCAATGAAGTGTTACCTTAGCAGAACCTCCGACCGACTGCCTTCAGAAAGACACCAAATTGGAAACCTGAAAACATACTATCTTCTAAATGCCGCTTCTCTTCTCCCAGTACTGGCTCTGGAATTAAGGGATGGGGAGAAGGTTCTGGATCTCTGTGCTGCTCCTGGAGGCAAATCAATAGCTCTGCTGCAGTGTGCTTGTCCAGGTAGTGTGCTTTTCTTTCACTATTTGACAACTTTTTAATATCTATATGTGGGGAGAAACATAAGATCAAGTTTGCAAACTTAGGAAGCCTGAAAACCAAGACCCTATGGAGAAGAATGGAAATTTTAGCTGAGGAAATCAGTGTAAATAATATCTTTTTCCGGCTACTTAATCCTAGCAGGTGACTGGGGACAAATCTACAACATTTTGTGAATACAAATCTGCCAAATAATTTGAATGCTGATAAGCCAATGACAGAGGTTTTTTAAAATTTTATTGTTTACTTTTATACTTAAGAGTCTTCAATTGATATTCCTGTCATGCTTCTCTGCAACAAAAACATGTACATTTAAAATCATTTTTCGTACCATAAGGTTCTAAGGTGAAGTACATACATAATTTTATATCTTTGAGTAGTCCCATTAAAAAAATAGAAACCGGTGAAATTAATTTGAATAATGCTTTGTAACCCGATACATTCAAAATACTATTTCAACATGTAATAAAAATAAAAAATTTTAATGAGATATTTTACATCCTCGTTTTCTTACAGGCTTCAAAATTGGTTATTTTATACTTAACACACATTTCAATTTGGACTAGCCACATGCCAAGTGCTCACAGCCACAGGTGGCAAGAGGGTATAGTATTAGTGTAATAAGGTCTTTTGAAGTGACTTTATCATTATCACTATTAGTACAAAAGTGATATACATTTTTACAAATAGTTATTAAAAGTAAAAATATTCACTGTGAATTTTTTCTTAATGAGATGGATGGGACCTTTTTTTTTTTTTTAACTAATTCAGGTTTCCCTGGATTAATATTACTTATCGCTAAATGAGGTAACATTCAGCATCAATTCTGTCTGGATTTTATGTGCTGGTTTTGTTTTAGTTTTTTTTTTTTTTTGGTGCAAATGCTGTTGTTTACATAGATAGGAAGATGGAAGTGGTGGGAATTGTGTTACAGTGGTTTTACTGATTCTTTAAAGTCCTTCTAATTTATAGCCCCAAATCACATACAGATCTTCATCAAACATTATTTTAATGATCTATTAGGCAAGCAATCTTTAAGTCCACTTTTGATTTTTGTTGAAAGCAAACAATTTGAACGATGTAAATTACAAAAGGCAGTGTTATCTTATTAGACTCATTCACTTTCTCAGCCAAGACACCAATGTGTTGAACTGCCCTTATTTGATGTTCTGGAGGTTTCTACACCTTGATGCATTTTGCCATAATAAGATTCTGGATGGGTGGGAAGCTGGCTTTTCATTTGTAAAATTGGTGAAGAGCCATGTGAAAGGAGATGCCCCAGTGGAGGTGTTCTTCTTTAGGAAGTTGATGATCTGAAAATTGATTCTTTTGAAACTAGCCAAGCCTGCCTGTCTCTTAGAAAGTTGTTATATATCCCCAAGGGATGCATATCCCAATTTGAAGACTGCTAATTTATATCTTTTTTTGAGAGCATTCAGTGTTGAAATAGATTAATTTTTTTTTAATGAGAAATGTGAATCCAAGTTATGCTAGGCATTGTTACAAATATATCAGTTAACTGTATGTTTAGGAGAAAATACACTGTATGTTTTAGAATTCTGGTTTAAACTCTGCTATTAAAGTTTGTTGATCACAACAAAAGAGGTCATTTTATAAGGTTACCTTATTATTTTTATCATTTGAGCTGAAGTTTTTTGGTATTGTATGTTATAAAGGAGTATTTGTTTTTACTTCTACTCTTTTAATGTTCTTTGACAATATTCTTATATTGGCTGTTACAGAGCTTGTACTCCTTAATTCCGGGTATGAAATTTTTAGTATTATAAAAGATGGAAGAGAAATGTCAAATTTGGTTACCATTTTGAAGAGAGGACATTTTAATCCTAAATTATCCTCATTAGTAGGCTATAAATACCTTACACATTTATGGTAGCAAAGTTGATTTGATTAGGAACCCAAAGGCAAACTGATTTATTCTGGGAGTTTCAAGTGGTGAAGAATCTTCCTGTTCTTATATCAAGGGCAGTGAACTACAGGCAGTGTTCCAAGTAAAGTAGCTTTTCATCTAAGTAGGACTAATGATAATGATTTACTAAGAAGTACAGATGTCTTCATGCTGATGCTTGAAGCCCAAATTAGGTTAGCTACAGTGCTTGAATTTGGAATGCAGAAGCAATGCTAATCAAAGCTTTTATAAGCAAAACTTAAAACGATGGCTACACTAAATGTGCATTTATACACCAAATTTCTTTAGATCAGCACTGGTCTTTATCTGGGGCCAAGAGACTCACAGCTTTGAACAATTAAAAAGCTCATGCTTTAGAATAATTTAAAAAAATTAGTCTACTTTTCTTTTGGTCTAGCTGCTCTCACCTGTTAGCACAGCAATGGACTGACCATGTCTTTTGTCAACACAGCCTTTGTCATGTCCTGGTCTTGACAGAAAAGAGCAAATAATTCTATTTCTGAAGAGAAAAACATTAACATATTAACTAAGAATGACCCAGCTTGGTGGAGTGGCTTAGTCAGCTTTCTTACTGTGTCCCTCCAGGTATGAAAATCTCTTTGATGTCAGTGTTAACATTTGACACCTGGTTAGCCTTTAGTGGTTGGGAAGATTAGAAAGACATTTTTCTTTGTTGAATTGCTTTTGCCTTCTTTCCTGCTCCTTCATATCTGTAGTCCTTTTTTGCACACTCTTCAGGTACCACTTTCCTCCTTCTGTTCTCCTGCTAACTCCTTTCCATCCTTCAGGTTATACCTTAGGTTATACTTTCCTGGAAAGCCTTACCTGAACTCCTTCCATTAGGTACATCTTCTTTGTGGTAATAATAAAAATTATAACCATTTTGGAACACTTTGTTTGTACTAATGACTGTGTTAATCACACTTCGTAAATCTGTGCTTTTCACACATTTTTAGTAGTCTCTGCTTCCAACATCTTATGTTTTATTTCCATATATAATTCTTCCTGAAGTCCTAGGGCTCTGAGGAATACTGTGGCTATCACTGGTGACCATTATCTCATTTAACTCTGTAGTGCTGTGAGTTCAGTATTATTATTCCCATTTTTAAGATGAAACTGAGACATAGCGAAGTTAACTAGACTGTCTAAGGAAGGTAGCAGAATTGGGATCAGAACCCAAGTTTTACTGTTGTACTTTTATTACTGAAAGTTCAGCACTTATCCCTGAGGTCACATCGTAAGTTTGGTACTTATCCCCAAGGCTGTATCAGAAGAATGAGGACAAGTGGTTTGAGAAGAAGGAAAGAGAGATTTATTAATTTGCTGGCAAATGAGAATGGCAGACTCCTGTCTTAAAGTATCAATTTTCCTAACTATAAGCAGAAATACAGAGCTTTTAAAGGGAGGGTTTTCAGCTTCAGGCTATTGCTGTTTAACTGTAGTTGATAATTCTGATTCATCCCATCTCCTGGGAAAACAATCTCCTGACCTCCACCACAGAGTTCTGTTGAGCCATCTCTTGTGGTACAAAGAGCAAAGGACATTCCTTGCCTCTCCTGACCACTGGCCTGAGGCAGGGCTGCAGGTTTTAATTCCCAAAAAGAGTGGAGGAAGTTTTAAAGAGACAGCTTGTAAAACATTTTTTCCCTTTTTCAGGGCGTTCCCTCTATTACACTGTTGACTCTATTCCAAGGTCTCCCAGTGATAGTCACCTGTTGACTTGTCTAGTTGCTTCTGTTAGACAACTGTTAGTCTTCTTGAGCATAGAGCAGATGCTTATTTATCTTTGTGTCTGCTTCAACTAGCACTATGTCTAGGCCATAATAAGTGCTTAATAAACTATAACCTTAAAGTGGTTGTATTCTCAAGCGCATTTTAATCTAATCTCAGCTAAGTTTTAAAAAAATTATTATTGCCATTTTGTTCTTTTGCGAATTTGTAACATTGCTTCCAAGTAGTTCAAAGACTCTTACCATTAGCCTTCTCAGCATTTTAAGTATACAGGTCAATATCATTATTCCAGTTTTGACATTGAAAGGAACTTATTGTTAATGGAAAAAAACCCAAACTCTGTAAAATAATTTAAAGACATTTGTTCTGAGCCAACGTGTATGACTGTGGCCTAGGGAACCATACCCAAGAAGTCTCGAGCAAGTGGTCTTGAGGCAGTTGTGTTACAGTTTGGTTTTATACATTTTAGAGAGAAAGGAATTGTCATAAAGTTATAAATCAATACATTGGTTTGGCCAGAAAAGGTGAGACATCTTGAAGGTGGGTGGGGGATATTACAGGTTATAAGTGGGTTAAAATATTCTTTGATTTGTAATTGCTTCAAGAAATAAAGCTTTGTCTGAAGGCTTGGAATGTTTTTTTTTTTTTTTTAGCACATTATGGGGGTAC